AATAACTCATTCATTTCTAATAGTTTCAAAGACCCAAATTTTGTTTACAGAAGTGGGACTTTATTGTAAATTTTAAAATTTCGCTACTGCATTTCGAAGTTAATGCTATCAAATATAAAAATTTGATTTGCCAAGAAAGAACAATTTCATTGCATTTTATAGAGTATTATTGTCAGATAATTAGATATGACTGAATTGATTGGTTATATTCACGTCATATCCATACTTCTTTTTAGGCAAGTATCGTCTTTCATCATAAGATTTTCTTGTATCACTTTTTTTTAGATTATTGGGCGGCACCTGGATGAACTGAGGTCCTATGTTGCCTGATATTCGCTCTGAGCTCAAACAGCTGTTAAATAAATATATGAGATTTGTGAACATTCTTAATTTTAATTATTCACAAAAATGAATCTACCTTGCCACAACAGTAGTAGACCTCGTGGTTAGGCGTATGTTTAAGGTGGTTTTCGAGATTTAGGAGAGAGTCAAATCTCGAATAACAATAACCGCATCGGTTACTATCCAACATCGTTTTGAGCCAGCGATTAACATTAACTTCCTTGTTCTTGTATTTTTGAAAAAGAGTTCTGAGATCAATGTCTGGTCGATTTATCCGGTTATTCTGCTGAACTGCGTGATTCGCTCGAACGCGCACTCGACCATTTTGATTCGCATTTCCGCGTCCAGCTGTTTGAAATATGCACCAGTAAATCAAATCCAGAAATATAATAACATCCATATTCATCTAGAAATTACCTTGATTATTAGGGCGGATTGCAAGCGCTGCTTCGGGTGCAGGAGCGGGTACAGGAGCAGGTACACGCTCAGGTACAGGAGCGACCTCACGAACTTGTTGGGCACGCGGAATTACAACGACTCGTGCTCGAAGTAATCGTTCTTGGTTTAATTCCTGAATCCGTTGTCGTCGGGCACGCTCCTAATATAATGGTATTTGAAGTTAGAGGAAATAAATTACAACAAAAGTGGATTGTAGTGAATTACCTCCAATAACATTAGTTCATCCCATAAGTCGCATTTTTTGACACAACGTTCTTGTTTTTTATCCCAGAGTTCCCCACATTTGTAACAACTTAAAAGTTTGGAAATAATTGTTAAGTAAATAACAATAACTTGTAATAATATGATATGGAAGGTAACGTACAATTCTGTTTTGCATCTGCACGTAATATGATTGCATCCAGTATCCAGTTGAACGAGTACACGACATTTGGGACAACGTTTCCACTTTTCATTTTGGGCCAATTTAAGTACAGCACGATCTTCCGGGGCACGTTCGCTAGGAGGAAGCGCTTGGTATTGCTCACAGGTTAAATCTAGATTAATAAGACATTAATTATCCCTAATCTTGTCGCGTACGTCTAATGTAAACTATGCTTACCAAAATGCCAACTGGTGCAGCAAAGGGGGCAAAACTCTTTAAGACAAATCGGACACTCCACAGGACTTCCTTGACTGGATCCCTCAGGATCGTAGTCAAAAATTGCGCTACACCTTTTGTTTGGACAGTAAATCTATAACAAAAAAAAAAAGCAAAAAAGGATTAAATAATTTCCTAAAAGGACCTTAGCTTTGTCACAAATTTCTCCATTTAAATACCTTATTTTTAATCGTAGACAACGCCATTTTTAAATACCAATTCCCCATTCCTTCGCTCGTAAGTACCTTTTCTGCTATATTTTCCGAAATTTCTGCCGTTTCACATTTCAAAGGACACTTTATTGGGAAAGATATTGACTCCTCTTGGAGTAATACATTCAAGTAGTTTTTCATGCATGACAAACAAAATCCGTGCGTGCAATGTAAAATTACACCCAAAGTTGCGCTACTTGATGCCATTTTGTTTATATCGCTACTTAAATCAAAAGTGCAAAAATCATCGAAGCAGGTTTGACAGCTATGACGTGCCGGAGATTGCCTGCGAATTTTTGCCGGTTGTGTATTCTCTCCCACAGTAGACGCGACTTTACCTTTACCTTTTCCTTTCAATTTACCTACAGTTTTCGTCTCTAACAAATACATTCCCGGTACATTTTGTTTAGATATAAATAAGAAAACAAAATAAGAGCCCAATTGCAAAACGAACCGGTCGCGTCAGAGGTATCCTGAGAAGTTATTGTTTCACCAAATTTACGTTTGGCGGGCTTGACATACGTGTGATGGAATGATGAATATGAATTACTTTTTAATTAAAGTTATGGAAAACTTTGGTTAACAACTATTGAAAGCCTTACCAACTTGTTCGATACAAAACTTTTATCTTTGCTCTCCTTGAAGTTTCTTCCTTTCTATGAAAGTCAAAATATGTTTAAAAGATTAGATTTTAGAACATTGTAAACCTTAAACGAACAAGTGTTGACATGCATTGTTTCTAATTATCAGAGTAAACTTTCATATTATTGGTATTAGAATTCAACGATTTGATCATTATCATTATTCCCATCGTTAACTTATGAAGCTAACGCGCGGGCTTATCAAATTGCCAATAAAAATTGTAGGTTTCTCCAAACAAATAAATTCATAATAATTACCCGATGGCCTGTTTGTTCCTGCTTCTCAATTTTGTTAAAAGTTTCTGTAAACTTCTTGTTACCTGCGAGACGAAACAGCTGAGTTGCTTGAAGAGAGTATGCTTTTGATATGTTTTCGAGGAATAGGTCCGCTGAACTCTGGTGAACTGCTCCTTTTCTTCTTGAGTTTATTGGCTTGCTAGCCTCCATCACCTCTCGAAGCTAAAATTAAATAAAAGAAATCACTCTTTAAGTACTAAGAGCCAAGAACATTACCAAATTCCCAGAAATGTTACCTGTAATTCTTCTGCATATTCTAGGTCACGCTAATAATGAAACAGAAAGTCACGCGTCTGCACCTGCAAAACACGACTTTAATATTCCTGAAAGACAAACCTCATATGAAGACATTGCTCTCATCACGTTAGCAACAGCAAGGATTTCTTCCTCTGACTGAAAAACATCATTCGCGAAAACGTTCATGGCATTACTTGTCATCTTGAAATTCGAGTTTACCACGTATTTATATTATAAGTACCGTGAACGACGGTTACACGGACACGTATAATTCATTGATCGACCAATCTATAGTGTTATAAAAAAAAAAAAAAGTAATTTTAAAGATTTTCCCTTATTAAGGAATGGGAAAGCTTAAAGAAAAAGGGAAAGCCGGTGCGGCTACAAATTATATAACAAGAAATCAAGC